TGTGTGACCTCTGGCAGGTTCCTTCACCTCTCTGGGCGCACTCCCTGTCTGTCCTGTGGCTGGGAGGAATCTGGTTCCTGGCGCACAGAGAGGCCTGCGCAAATGCATACATGCTGCCCTGACCCTTCCTCAGCGAACTTCCCTGGTTGTTTCTTCTGCATTTTCTTCTTCTTGAGCCCATCCGTGCCACACGCTCTCAGGGAAAGAGCAAAAAGGTGCCAGAATTTGTCGCCTCGACAGCCCCACACTCCCCAGTCTCATCCAAGTGGGGGTGAGCACACTTCCCCTGTCAGGGGCGAGGGGCCTGAGGCACACAGAGCCAGCTGACGCTCCAGGGGCCAGGGGCCGGGTGGTCATTTGGGTTCATATGGTGCCGGGCTTTGAATACAAAGCCTGACAGCATCACTGGCATGTACCTTGGGCAAGGGATTTTCACTGCTGGGAGCCTCAGTTTGTCCAACTGCAGAAGGGGCTGGAGAATACTCACCCCTCGAGGCTGTGGGGAGGAGGAGCTGAGAGCCTGGATCAGAGGAATCCGGCCGCACAGGGTGGTCTCGGCTGCATCTCTACTTGGAGAACCACGCCAGGCCCCCCAGGGACCCACCAGCCCTTGGCCTCAGCCCAGCTCTGGAGCTGGGAGGCCACCAGCTGGGCTGAGGCATCACCTGTGAAGTGAAAGAGGGAATTTGATGGGGCCGGAGCAGCATGGGCTATGCAGGGAGAGGAAAGAAGTCTCCGCCTGGGAGTGTCGGGAGGGCTGTGCCAGCGATGCCAGCTCTCTCCCGGGCTCCATAGTTGTCATCCGTAAAATGGGAACAGCAGCGCCAACCTAACAAGATCGCTGATGGAATCACAAGCGGGAAGACGTTACAGTAATGTGAGGGAGGACGTTGGGTGAATGTCAGAGCCCTTGGCAGGGGATGTTGAGTTGGTTGTGGTGGCGAAAGTGTGGGGACCACAGGGGACAGTTCCTGGGCAGCTCCATGTCCCTTCCCTGCCCTGCCCTCCAGAGCGCTTCGGGGGCTTAATCCTCCCAACCGTGCCAGGTAGGAGCGGTCACTGTCCCCATTTTGCAGAGGAAAAAGTGAGGCTCAGAGAAGCACAGCCATCTGCCTGAGGTCACACTGCTAAGACCCAGGGGAGAGCCACACCCAGATCCCCCCAGGGACCACGTTTTTTTTTTCTTTTTCAACTATTTTTTTTAAGTTTTTTTTAAATTTTTATTTATTTATGATAGTCACAGAGAGAGAGAGAGAGAGAGAGAGAGGGGCAGAGACACAGGCAGAGACACAGGCAGAGGGAGAAGCAGGCTCCATGCACCGAGAGCCCGACGTGGGACTCGATCCCGGGGCTCCAGGATCACGCCCCGGGCCAAAGGCAGGCGCCAAACCGCTGCGCCACCCAGGGATCCCTTTTTTTTCTTTTTCAAAACAAATGTTTTGTAACAGCTTTATCCAGATAAATTTCACATACCGTGCAACTCATCTGTTTAAGATGTGCTGTGCAGTGGCTTTGACTTTATTTACAGCACAACTGTCACCTGGCAGCTTGTGGACATTGTCATCACCCCCCAAAAAAACCCCAGGTGCTTGAGAGAACACCCACCAAGCCTCGCCTCTCCCCAGCCCCTGGCAACCATTCATCTACTTTCTGCCTCTATAGATTTGCCTCTCCCGGTCATCTCGTACAAATGCGATCCCAAACTGTGCGGCCTTTGAAGTCTCTGACTTTTTTCACTTAGCATCACCTTCTCCAGGCTCATCCATGGTGCATCCAAGCGTCGATACTTTGCTCTTCCTATGGTTGGATAATATTCCATTGTATAGACATACCACATTTTGTTCATCCATTGGCCAACTGAGTTGTTTCTATTTTGGGCAATTACGAATGACGCTGCTATGAACAATCGTGTTCAAGTTGTTGGTGTGGCCGTATGTTTTCATTTCTCTTGGCTTTATTCTGAGGAGTGGAATTGCTGGCTTATATGGTAACTCTATATTTAACATTTTGAGGAACTGCCAGACTGTTTTCCAAGGCAGCTGCACCATTTCACACTCCCACCAGCGGTGTATGAGGGCTCCAGGTCCTGCACATCCTTGCTGGCACTTACTAGTGTCTGTCTTTTTGAGACCGTGTTCCCACTGCCTGTGCTACACTGAATATGGTCAGTCAGGCTGGGGGTCAAATGCTGGCCAGGGGATCTCAGGAGAATGGCCTCTCTGTGTCTTTTCCAGAAAATGATATAAGTATCCTTCCCGGGGTGCCTGGGTGACTCAGTGGTTGAACATCTGTCTTTGGCTCAGGTTGAGATCCTGGGGTCCTGAGATCGAGTTCCACATCGGGCTCCCCACAGGGAGCCTGCTTCTCCTCCTTCTGCCTATGTCTCTGCCTCTGTCTCTCTGTGTCTCTCATGAATAAATTTTTTTTAATCTAAAAAAAAAAAAAAAAAGGGACAGCCTGGGTGGCTCAGCAGTTTAGCGCTGCCTTCAGTCCAGGGGCTGGTCCTGGAGACCTGGGATCGAGTCCCACGTCGGGCTCCCTGCATGGAGCCTGCTTCTCCCTCTGCCTGTGTCTCTGCCTCTCTCTCTCTCTCTCTCTGTGTGTGTGTGTCTCATGAATAAATAAATTAAAATCTTTAAAAAAAAAAAGAATCCTTCCCTTCTAGGCTGTCAGGAGACAACGGGGTTGGCAGCATTGTCAGAGCCATGCTAACTGTAGAGTGAAGTGCACACCTCTTGTTTTTGTAACTGGGTCCGTAGGGCTGAAGGCCTTGTTAAGTTCCTCAGGTGCTGACCCATCTGGCCTTTTGATCTCTTCCCAGTGCCTGGCACTGAGTCTGCATACAGTAAGTGCTTGCTCAGTGTGGACCCTCGGGGCAGCCCAGGACCTCCCTTCATGGTGGTGGCTGAGCCCTACCAGGGTGCTCTGGAACCCACGTAGCCTCTAGTGGGTCCTGCCTGTGCTAAAGGCCTTGACATTATTTTCCTTCCTTAAGAGGAGATGTTCCTTCTGTCCGTTAAGAGTGTCTTGCCTTGGGATCCCTGGGTGGCACAGCGGTTTGGCGCCTGCCTTTGGCCCAGGGCACAATCCTGGAGACCCGGGATCGAATCCCACATCGGGCTCCCGGTGCATGGAGCCTGCTTCTCCCTCTGCCTGTGCCTCTGCCTCTCTCTCTCTCTGTGACTATCATAAAAAAATAAAATAAAAATTTATTTATTAAAAAAAAAAAAGAGTGTCTTGCCTTTCCAGAGGCCAAAGAGCTTCACCAATGACAAAAACGATAAAATAATGGCGGTCACACCCTAGCAGTGGCCCTGGTTCACGTTCAGTAAATCCGCTTGAGCGCCTCACGTTCTCTTCCTACTCACCCCTTCCTTGCAAGGCAGAAACCCTTTATGGTCTCATTTTCTCCACCACCACCCGCAGCCACCCAAAATGCGGCAAAATGCACATAACAAAATTCACCATCTGAAACCATTTTGAAGTGCATGGTCAGTGGCATTAAGTGCTGTTCACACTATTGTGCACATATCACCATTGTCCACCCTCAAAACTCTTTTCAGCTTGCAAAACTGAAACTCTGTCCCCGTGACACATTAACTCCACACCCCCACCCCTCCCTCCGGCTCAACCAGTACTTTTACTTTATTTTTTTTTTAAGATTTTATTTATTTGAGAGAGAGCAGAGAGAGAGAGGGAGAGAGCATGAGCAGGGGTGAAGGGCAGAGGGAAAGGGACAAGCAGGCTCCCTCTGAGCAGGGAGCCTGATGCGGGGCTTGATAAGATCGTGAGATCAAGACCTAAGCTGAAGGCAGATGCTTAACCACTTAACTGACTGAACCACCCAGGTGCCCCTCAACCAGTACTTTTATTTTTTTAAAGATTTTATTTATTTATTAATGAGAGAGAGAGAGACAGAGAGAGACAGAGAGAGAGGCAGAGACACAGGCAGAGGGAGAAGCAGGCTCCATGCAGGGAGCCCGACATGGGACTCCATCCCGGGTCTCCAGGATCAGGCCCTGGGCTGAAGGCAGCCCGAAACCGCTGAGCCACCCAGGCTGCCCTCAACCAGTACTTTTAAAGTGCACCTATTGAGTGCCAGGAGCTGGTCCTGCCATTGTGAGCAAGACAGATGTGGTCCCTTGCCTCATGGAAACTGGTACAATTTTCCAGATGAGGACACAGGCACTGGGAGGGGAGGCTGGATCCTGTTGAATCAGCTGGCAGCCAAGATCCAGCCTGTGGGCCCAGGACCAGTCACTTCCCTGCATGCGGCCTCAGGTGCCCCATCTGTGAAGCACAGGTCGGTAGGGAACTGGGTCTTCCTGCCACCTCCGCCCCACCCCCCTGCCGACTCTCAGGGAAGAGCAGGTAGGAACCCTGGCCCCATCTCCTCTTCTGCATCTCCTCTGTCCCCTCCACCAGCCTCCTAGTAGCCAGGGTCATCCTTCTCCTTTTCCTTTCACTGCAGAGGGGCCTCCCTGCAGGAACGGGCTCTAGATGCCGGCTGCTCGCCTGCTTCCCAGCCGGATCCAGCCCCAGCAGAGAGAGGCCTTCTCTTCGGGAAGGCAGGAGGGACCCTCCTCTGTTTACATTCCTCATCACAGCCAGATAGCTGCTTGTTTGCTCTAAGATCTTGGAAACCCAGAGGGAAAAGCTTCTCCTCCCCACCCCATTATGGAGGGGGCAGCTTTTGGAGAGGCCGCACTCCCTTCCAAGCCTCAGAGGCCCATCCGTAAAGTGGGCACAACAATCCCTGCCTCTCAAACTGGCTGGGAGGCAGGTTTAGTTGATGATTCTCTCCCACCATGCTCAGTGAGTTAATTATTAAGGTGTGTGTGTGTGTGTGTGTGTGTGTGTGTGTGTGTGTGTATTTGGTAAATGTTTTACACTGGCAGTTTGAATGCATCATTTTTTTCTTTTCTTTTTTTTAAAAACCTATTTTATTTATTTATTCATGAGACACACAGATAAGAGGCAGAGACACAGGCAGAGGGAGAAGCAGGGGAGCCCGATGTGGGACTTGATCCCAGGACCCGGGGATCACGTGCTGAGCTGAAGACAGATGCTCAACTACTGAGCCACCCAGGTGGCCCTGAACACATCACTTCGGTTCAGATTCTCTCTCTCTTTCCAGCAACTTCAAAATTCCACTTTCTAGTTGCTGAGCCAACACCTATTTCTATTTGAAGGCTGAGGGGGATGGCCCTACCCACTGTCTTTGGAGAGTCAGCTCAGTTTAATAAGAAAGAAGAGATGCACAGACTCCCAGCATCTCCACCGGGCCTGTGGGGTGGGCACATAGCTACTCCCCCTCTACAGCGGGGACACTGAGGCTCAGAGGTGGAGAGACTGGCCGCTGGGGTGGTGATGAGTCACAAGGCCACAGCTTGGGCTCAGAGAGCCCACTAGGCTTCCAACCAGTCCCAGCAGAGTGAGCTGCCCGTCCTGTGGAGGCATTCAAGTGGCTGGAGTCGAAGGTGAGACCGCCACGTAGCCCCTTACCTTCACCATCCAATAACCCTCACCCCCACACACCTTGATCACCTACTGGGTGCCCGGCTGCGCATCCCGGGAACGGCCCGCGGAATGAATGAGCCTGTGGCCGGCCCGCCCGGGTTCCCAGGGGACAGGCAGCCCCAAGGTGGGAGGGATCCCAGGGCCCCAAGCAGAGCCCCCGCGGGCAGCGCCTGGCCCTCGGGCCGCGACCGCGACGCCGGCTTCCCGGGAGCCCCCCCACCCGCCCACCCCCGCCCTGGGCCCCCGCGGCGGCGGCGATCGGCGGGGAGGGCAGCGGGGCGGGCGGCGGGGCGGGCGGCGGGGCGGCCCGCGGCGCTGGAACCTGAGCCGGGGGAGGAGAGCGGCGCGGCCGGCGGGCGGGCGGGCGGGCGGGGGAGGCCGGGCTGCAGGAAGCGCCGCGCGGTCCCGGAGGAGGTGAGTGGGGCCTGGGCCCTCGGGGCGGGGATCCCGGGAGCGCCGGCGCAGCCGCGGCCCCCTCGCGCCCCTGGGCACGTCTCGGAGGCTCCGAGGTCCGGGCTGCGGGCGCCGGAGGGAGCGCGGGGTCCCTCCAGCTCCCGCCCCAGGCTGGGTGCCCCCCTGGGTGCCCCTCAGGGCGGCCACCTTCTCTCTGGGCTTCTGTTTTATCCCCTGAGAAATGGGTGCCGGCCTGGGCCTTGGGGCGCAGTCTGCAGAATGGGGAGGGCCCCGGTCCGGAGATCCAGGTCTAGGCACCAAAAGCTAGAAGGCTCTGTTGGGGGCACCCCCATTTTGGGGAACTGGGGGCTCAGAGGTTTCCCCTCTACACCACCCCCCCCCCCGCCCCCCGCCCCCGCGCAAGCAGGAGGGAATGGGAAGTCTGGAACTTCCAAAGGCCACTTCTTAGTTAGCCTTAGTCAGGCCCAGAGATGGCTCTTCCTCCAAGAGGCAGGACAATCTTTAACCTCCAGCTCTGCCTCTAGATTCCCCCGGGAGGTCCGGGACGACTGGGAGAGACCTCCCACACTCCCCACCTGCCTGGCGATACACCAGCCACAGCCATGCCCAGGCGTACCTACCACACCACCTGGCCCAGCCCCAGCCGCAGCCTGTCCCTCCCTCTGACCTCCCCATTTTGCGGATGAGAAAGCTGAGGCTCAGATCAGGGATGTTACCTAGTGGATTATAAGTCCAGGGCTGCCAGGCTCCAGAGTCCTCCCTGCCTGGTGCCCAGGGGGTGCCCTGGAAGTTACAGGGGACTGGGTGCGCCTGTGCCTGCTCTGGCTCAGCTTCTCTACAGGGCCTCTGCTGGGACTGGGGACATGCGATGTCGTGTGTGAGCTTTGTTCTGGGGACACTGAGAACCACTGGAGGATTTAAGCTTTGCGGCTTTGTCTGTGGGGCAAGGAGGGGGTGACTCTGTGACCGCCAATGAGGAAGGTGAAGGGGTGATCTATTTAGAGAGGTCAAGTAGAAGGGTCAGGCCCAGGCCATCTGTGGGGTTAGAAATGGGGCTTCTGTGGCAGCCCTCGCCCTGTCCTGCCTGCCCCCAACTGCTGTGTGACCTTGGGTTAGTCCCTGGGCTGCCTGAAGGACAGCTCATCTGTAAAATGGGGGTGGCCTGAGAGCGACCCCAGGGCTATGGTGAGGACACACAGTCCAGCTCAGTCGGTGTCATTGCAGTCATTGGTCATCGTCATCGTGCCTTTGCTGGTGGTTACAGCCCTGAGGTGACAAAAAGGCAATTGGTCATGCCCTCATTTCTCTAGTTCATTCTGTTTGAGTAACCTCTCTCTTTCGCACCTTTGCTGGTAAATCGGAGGAGGGGATCCCAAAAATGAATGGCAGGTGGTGCTCCTGGGACAGTCAGGGTGAGGTTTGTAAGATAAGGTGGGGTCACTTTGACATGGAGTGTTCCCAGGTGTAGGAAATGGGTGCCTGAGGGAAAGAGGATGGGGGTGAGAGCTTCTGAGAAGGTGCCTAGGGCTCCCCGGAGAAATCCATAGCCTTACTGCTGGGAAGGGCACTCCTGCCACCTCACCTGGTGGGAACTGGGCCTCAGCCACCTCCTCCTGTGTCCAGCAAACCCTCTTGAAAAGCTCCCCCACCCCATGCCAGCCTCGGACCCCAGCCAGGCTCTGGCCCGAGGGCTCTGCCCCCTGCAGCCACCTCCCCGACACTGGGATTGCCCTCTGTGTCAGCTGTGGCCTCCAGGCAGGCGGCATCCACGCCTGACCTGTGACCACCTGGCAAGGTGAGGCATGGTAGATGCTTGGCAGATTTACGCTGTGGGATGGGGGCCAGGAGAGCATGCTGTGAGGTGGGAGAGCCATCTGGAAAGGGATCAGGGAGGGCTTGATCAAGGTAGGGGGTTGATAACTCTGGGACACAGAGAGGGGTAGTGGAAGGGGAGGTGGGCGGGGGGACAGGGTGATTGGATGATGGGCACTGAGGGGGGCACTTGACGGGATGAGCACTGGGTGTTATACTATATGTTGGCAAATCCAACACCAATAAAAAATATACAAAAAAAATAAGGTAGGGGGCTGAGCCACACCTTGAGTAGTAAATGCAGACGTAGGGGAAAGGGCATTCAAGAAAAGGAAAGTGCACCAGCCAAGACTTGACTACTACCTATTGCCAGGTGGGTAAAATGAGAGTTTGTAGAGCAAGGCATGGTTCCGTTTGTCTGGAATGTGTGACGTCAACAGGAAGGGCAAGCGATCCAGCAGGCAGGGGCTAGGTCAGCCCCAGAAGCCCTAAGGTCCAAGCTGGGAGGGACATGCCAGATGTGTGGTCTAGAAAGGTCCCTCTGGCTGCAGAGTGGGGGCCAGGCAGGGAGGCCGGTCCCCAGGCTGGGGAAGTCATCCAGGCAGGAGATGTGAGGCCCGTCCCGGATGGGGACTGGAGAAGGGTGGCAGGCAGGAGACGCGGGAGGGAGAGAGCTCCGTGAGAATTGGCCTCATCGTGCCTGGCGCAGGGCAGGTGCTCTGTAAAGATCTGCTGCCCAGGAGAGTGAGCGCATCGTTTCAAGAGGCCCCAGCCCTTCGAGCTCCTTCATCTGTTCCTTGGTGGGAAGGGGAGTTTGCGTGAGGGGGCATCTCGACCCCTCACAGGCCCCCCGACCTGTTGTCTGCCTCAGTTTCCCCCATTTGACTCTGGGAAAGACATTCTAAGCCCCTCCCCAAATCACTGGGCTGCAGAGAGCAGCTCCATTTCTTTGTCACACACCAGATCCTGGGAGCCAAGATAACACTGCTGCCAGCGGGCCCTCTGGAATGTTCCACATCTCACCCATCTGGAGAGGAATTCACCTGTTAAAGATTAATTCAGATCTCCCGAGATACTTACGGCCTTGGGCCCCCACAGCTGCTGCTCTGAGCACTGGGTGCAAGGTTCTGCTTGGCTTTAGCCAAGCCTGGGCTTCATCAGTAGTCCTAATGATGCTAGTGAGCACTTATTGAACACCTACTGTGTGCCAGGCCCTGAGCCAAACACTCTTAATACATTTGGATACAAAACTATTATTGTACCCGTATCTGAGAGGAAGGAAATGAGGTCTGGGTAGTGAAATTGCTTGCCCAGGGTCTTTTAGTTGGCAAGGGGCAGAACTGGGATCTGAACCTCGTTTGCCTGATTCCAAAATCCATGCCCTTCACTTCCAAGGTGGCCTGTCACCATTTGTCCTGACCTGAAGTCATGGGGAAGAGACTTCAGTGTAGAGAGAGAAAAACCCGGATTGCTCAGGCCGGCCCCGTCTTAAATCCTAGGTCTGCTGTTTTCCCTTCCCAGGGAAGCTCAGGGCAAGTCACCTGGCCTCTCTGAGCCTCAGTTTCCTTTTCTGTCAAATGGAGCTGTCTGTTCCCACTTAGCCAGGACGGTGCAAGGCGCGGATGGGGCCCCGGAGCACCGGCTTCTCCCCCATCCTGTTCCCCCGGCCTGTTCCAGGACGCGTTTTCCTCCAGCTCGTCCCTGTGGCGCCCCGAGAGCCCCTCTGTGCCAGGCGGGCGGGCGGAAGGGAGCAGGGCAAAGCGGGGCAAAGCGAGACTTGCATTTGGCCAAAGGGTGATGCCTTTTCAGCCGCGAGATATTTACGGGCATTGACTGAGGGCCAGGAGCAGGCAACTTTTCATACCTTGCTGATCGTTTCATGTATCATTTCCAATGTCTGTCACCTGATGCTCACCTCGATGATGTTACAGCCTTGCCCACGCTGGACGTGGGCAGAAGTAAGAGGGCCGAATCTCATTTTACGGCTGGGGAAACTGAGTTTCCAGGGGAGAAGCTCCTGGTAGAGCTGGACGTGGAAGCCGGATCTGAGTGACTCTGGTCGCCTTGGGTCCCTGAAGAGCCCCAAGAGAGGACTTGCCCCTCTGGGAGTCTCACCCCCCTTGGTCCACCTTCCACCTCTGCCGCTTGCTGCTGTGCGACCTCAGGGGTAGTGTAACCTCTCTCTTCCTGGGGCTGCCGCCTGGGATGTGCTGGAGGTCAGAGCTCTGGCAGTTGGAGGGTGGCTTGGGTAATTCAGGCCACGATTCTTGCCCCAGCCTGGACTCCCCGTGCCTGGGTTTCCCTTGGGTTTCATGCACTGGCACCTTAGCTGACTAGGAACGAGGGAGAGAGGCCAGCTCTTTACTTTCACCATGACTTTGACTTCCTTCCTGCCTCTGAGCCCCTTCCTGATCATTGACTTCTCCTCTCCATCCCAAGCCCTGGCCATAGCTGGCTGTGTGACCCAAGTAGGTCACCCCACCTCTCTGAGCATGTTTCTTCATTCCTCACCAGGGCTGTAGGAAGCCCTCCATAAATGCTCTTGGGTCCGCCCCAGATGAGGTCAGAGGATGGGAAAGGCCACAGAAGGAGGAGGACGTGAGGGGGGCAGACAGGCAAGCTATTGACCAAATGGGAATACTCTTATTTTTCTTGGGGTGGTGAGTAATGGCTGCCCGCCCTGCCTGCTGCCCGCCCTGACTCCCCCCTGCACAAAGGACTCCTCAGTCTTTTG